TTCCTGGGAATAGGTCATTTTACTACACGTTACGTTCTACAGAAGAGCTTTCCCTTTCTACAAGTGTCCAGTTACCACACCGACCGTGATTTGGCTGAACTGGTAGACCCAAAATGGCCAGCTCCAGGACCTAAGTGGTTATATTCTGTGCCTTGGGGATTCAGAAGATTACTCAACTTCATTAAGGTGATGACAGAGTAAATCTTGAAAAGGAAGTGAACAAAATGTCTGGTTACATGCAGAAGCTGCAGGAGCTGCACTTATACTATTTTAGATATTTAACAGTTTCACCTATATGTTTATCTTGTCATACTGGGAAGTTTCTTTGCCAAAAAAACCACCTTAATTTCAGTTCAGAAAACTATAGAATTCAGTAATTTTAAAATAAAAACCGTAGCTAACTTAAATTCCCAGTTACACATTTTTCTTAAAGGTAACTAAATAAATCTAGAAAATTGCTTTTAAAACATTTTACTAAGAATCTCATGTTCTGTCAAAACAAGATGAATTTGTTTATATGAACCAGTCTAAACATATCTTTGTTTGCAGACACAGTATGGGAACCCTCTCATTTATGTGACAGAGAATGGAGTTTCTGAAAAGGTACAGTGTACTCAACTGTGTGATGAATGGCGGATAGAGTATCTGAAAGGATATATTAATGAAATACTGAAAGGTAACTTTAAAAACATCTTTTTGGAGCATGAGCTTTTTGAGCATTTTCACCTTCTGATTATTTTTTATTCTTGTAGTTTACCTCCTAGAGAAATAAATACTTGCAGATCAAAACGGACAGCAAACTAGACTAATAAATTTTTACAAAAACGATAACCTAGCCAAACGTACTGATGCTAATAAATACAATAATCTACATGAGATTTACTACTGTAATGAATCATCAGTTTCCACTTTTAGAAAAGAGAAATTGCACCTAATTACCATTCTTATAGAGCTCTAGTACTTCTAAGCTAAAGATAACATTTTCAAAGAATCTAAATTACTTTATACTTTGCCATTTTTCTGTCCTCCTCCCTCCCTCCCCATTTCTTTCTGGCATAAAAAAACCCACCTATAGAACCATATTTTAAGGATGACAAAAATAGGCAACAAGTTTAAGAGAATAATTTGTATTCTGTTTACAGCTCTAAATGACGGTGTTAATGTCAAAGGTTATACTGCTTGGTCACTGCTGGATAAATTTGAATGGAACAAAGGCTTCTCTGAAAGATTTGGATTTTATCACATTGATTTTAAAAACAAGAACAAACCACGATATCCAAAGGCATCTGCTGACTATTATAAAAAGATTATCAGTGCAAATGGATTCCCAAATCCAAGAGAGGTGATGTCAATTGCTAATTTTATTCTTTTTTCTTTTCCTTTTTTCTTCAATATATGGGCAAATATCACACTGAATTTCACGAAACAACATGCGTGAATACGGTACATGAAATGACAATTTGGTTCTGTAAATTAGGGTTGTGTTAAATCAGGCCTCTAGAGACAGAGAAAGTGGAAATAGCCTCAACTACTGTTTCTAAAGTATTTCATGAACTCTAATTGGACTTACTGATGTAATCAAAAATTCTGAATCGTAAGTTACCAGTGCTCTGTCAGATTTCTAGGCAGAAAATTACACATACCTGCTACCTTATTGGAAAATAATATGGAATATTATGCACTTTTAAAAGTTTTATTAAACAATTAACTATAAGAAATATACCGCAATAAAAATCACAAAGATACAAAGAAACTTTCAGAAAATGATGTGTTGACAGAATAAAATAGTTTCAAGTCAATTGTAGTGGACAAATGTTCAGGAACAGAGAAGAAGCTGCTGCGAAAGAGACAGAATATTACAGTCTAATAGAACTGCTACATGTCAACCTTCTCAGGTGGAAAACTGGCATCGGAAGGCCATGGACACTTGCTCTACCACACATCAACTCCTCGAGACAGGTAATTGTGCGTCTTCTCTTTTGTTTTCTAAAAGCATATTATGTAACTTTCAGATTTTTAAGTTTCTCTGTGAATACCACTATTAGCAGGTCCTAAAAGGTATCTTCTCCCTGAAAGCACAACAGCTTTCAAATACAACAAGCCTCTAAAGAAAAATGTCTTTATTTACTCTCTCTAACTAAAATCGCTGTAGCTAAACAGATCAGCTTTGAATGTTAATGGAATACACAAACTGAAAGAGTTACTTTTTAAAATTAAGGCTAGGGATGACGGTATTATCCTTAAAATAATAAAAGTGCTAAAGGCTCTTTCAAACATAAAACAAACCCAGACAAATCAAGACAACCATGTACACAGAAAATCTCTGAATGTTTGTCTTCTACATAAAATGGAACTATAAAAAAGAAGAAGCAGGCTAAGTACTAGCCTAAGGTGGTGTTAAGCCACATTTTTTTCTCTTTCATACTCATGGTAACGCCACCACAACTTAAGAGCAGCTGCTCCAGAGTACATAATACGGCAGACTTTGCCTGCAGTTTCCAAAGTGCCAGGCTAATCCATCTCACTTAAGACCTTCCCAGTGTAATTCAGGATCTTTCATAATTCCTGAACTAGGAGAATAGTCTACAGCAGCGGATTTCTGAAACTTTTAAGAAAGATGAAATAAGTATTAAAAAGTCTTATAAGAATGATGAGATAAATTCCACATGGTAGAAAATGTCAGAGCAGTCATCCTAAGTTTATCCTACTTAGACTCGACTGCAGAGTTATATGTTCCATGTGAATTAACTGTGTTTACTGAACCCTTTGAGGCTTATCTGTGGAGTAAAATTCTACAAAATAGAACCCATCTAATTTTTCAGAGAGCTACAGAACAATCATAAAAAGGCTAAAGTGCTTCCCAAGGATTTCTCTTTGACAATTTTCTTTTCTACCCTTCCCTTGGGGTGGGGGGAATAAAAATCAAAGGAACAGTACAATACTGCTAATGCACTGAAGCTAATTCCTAGTAAGCACAATTTTTGCAGCCCTTTGAGCACTGACATATGTTCAAAAATTTACCTTAGGAAGAAAAAGAGAGGGAAAAATTGTCTCGGATTTGCTCCAGCTTTTGCAGACTTATATGAAATTTTTTGTTTGTTTGTTTGCTGTTTATGCCAGTGTCAACATTTAACAAAATAATTTTAGTCATAAATGTTCAAAAAATCCTTAATCTATGTTAACTCTAAGTTAACAATTAGTATACTCCAGAAGATTAAATTTCTTACATATTACTCATTTCTCAAATTTTAGATTCCCTGATTACTTACATGGAAATGGTGACAGAAATTGTTCTTCCTACAGTTTTCACACTCTGCATACTCATCAGTATTGTTCTACTAATATTCTACCTTCGAAATCACAGTTAAAGTTCCCTGCTTATACACACTTTCATTTTGCATAATAAATAAAACACAACTGGTTTATTATATTGGTTAAAGTTTACCACAGATGCCTCTTTTTATACCAGTGTAAAGAAATATTACTTCACCTATCCACCTAGTGCTTCTATAGTTTCTTTTCAATTCCCAAAACATAATTTTTTTTATCAAAACCCAAAGTACATTTTCTTTCTGCTTTACTTTCTATTGATTTTAAGTAGCAGGTTTTATGTTTCTTATTATTTTGGAAACTACTATACATTTTCTTCACCAGAAAAATAGTTGGCTAAGATCAAAGTGATTCAAATCTTGACAGTACAAATTTCAAGTGATTAAAAGCTGCTTGCAAATTCTGATTTCAATCTGTTCATCAAGAGACTTTTAATTAGCGTGTAACTACTATTTGAAGAGAGACAAATGCATAATTTTAAAATTGAAAAGGATTTAAATATTCCAAGAGCAGTGCTTAAACATTAACTTATTATTCATGTCTAAAAGTTAGGATAATATATGCCTTACTATTTAGGTGTGGAGAAGAATTATTTGAAGTGATTAATCAAAGATGACAACTGCTGAGGCAGATTTAAACCAAGGACTCTTATCTCTCTAGATTTGTTTACAAGGAGCTAGGTTTATCTCATACGACTTTATAATATATTCCACACAGAAATGCATAATACAAGTAATCCAAGCACTTCCAGAATGCAATATTCCACCTCAAATTCACTTCTACTGCAGGTAGAAACAAGTTAGGCACATGCTTTATAAAAAATTTGTTCCAGAATATGGCCATCTGGCTATATTTGTCCTGTTGTGCTCAAAATGACTTCTCCACAGCAAAGCAACAACCAGGTTTCCTATTTAGCTTGCACTATATTTTCAACACTGCATGTACATATACTGAATGCAGAGTAGCAATACATAAATCCAAAAAAGGACCTTGTTCATAGCTTCTCTTCAAAGGCTAGCTATTAAACTGAGAGTTATTAAGTTGTAATATTAGGAAAGGGGTAAGAAATGAGATTTACTGAGGAGAAACCAGAAATAATAGAAATTTACAGTTTTTAAAAAGCATGAATATTGGGGGTTTCCTTATTCTTACTTATCAATAGTTAATAGTTTCTTTTATACCAAACGTTTCTGTCTCAAATTATTTAATAGGCATATACTACACTATGTAATTGTTTAAAATTACGCTACCAAAACATCACATACACTGTCTAATCAACATAACAACATATGCAAGTATCATCTCAACATATTTAAATGATTATGCCTGGCCAATCATACTGAACTTTTTTTTCCAAAAAATTACGCAAAAGCATACAAGACAACACTGTTAAAATAATTCCCTTTGCATTGAGGGGAAAAAAATGAATTTGAAGAGGAGAGAGAAGTATATCCAAGAACACTCCAAAATATATGAATAAATGGACAAAGAAAATCAAACTGTCAGAAGTTCAGAGTGCCCTGGATGAACAGCTTTCCAAATACATCTGGATGAAACGTCACTTGACCCCAGGAAAACATGACAATATTGCTTCTTTTGTTGGGATAAGATAATTCACACTTTGAACTGTGTCTGATTGAATTCTTAATGAATAAAAATAAAAATTAAAACCCCAAAGCGCAGAACTTTATTGAATGTTTGTAAATATAAGAACAAAAATATCTACTATATTTCCAAAATAATTATACTGTACAGTCATAATCACACAACATTTATAAACAAACTAGATGCATACAGATGAATTATGGATGTGTACATCACTTCAAGCACACTAAAGCAAATAAGTAAGATGTACTGTGCTTCAAATCAGAGTATTTCTAAATATAGTGTCTGGACAGATAATACTGAGCTTTCCCCTTTACTGTACCTTTCAAGGGCCTGCCTGTAGAGTAACTTGCATTTATGTGAAATGCACCTGACTGCACTCAGCCACTGTAATAAAATACATTCTTTCTTCACTGCTTGCATTAACTGTGGAATCGGAAAAGAGACCTGCATAGACAAAAGAAAAAGGTGCGATTAGCCGCTATTCTTAGAAAGAGAAATTGTAGAGATTAGTTCATGTAGCAGCTTCAAGAACTGGGTTCAAAATTGCAGTTTTACTGAAAGGAGCACTTCATGACAAAACTGAGGACAGGAAAGCTTCACCAGCCATTACTCTGTATCAAACCTCACACCCCAAAAAGGCAAATTATTTCTATACCAGTCTCTATGCTTAATTCTTCCCCATTCTCATGCTTTTTCACTTGTTCTACATTTGATTGCAGCAAGGCATGTCTTCTCTCCTTAGCACCTGCTTGCTTCTCTGACTAGACCAGCATTCAGTAACACGAAAATTTCTCTTCAAACACAGTCTCAGACACACTGGCAAAGATTTTAGATATAAGATATTGTGAAGAATACTTAAATCATGTCACATTTGGAACTATTCTGTCATTTTAACTCTAAAAACATAACAGCAAAGGTGAGAAGGCAGAAAGTCACCACTTCATGAAAATGTTTTGTATTCTATAAATACCATCTCACCCTTTTATTAAGGCAAAACATCTTTTGCTTTTGCCGAAAAGTAAGTATAAGTCAAAGTTCAGACCCACTGAACTCAGTATAAAAACTGAATTTGCTTGAAGTGTGTACTTTCATTATTTCATTTAACCACAAATATTCCTTACCTGTATTGTTTGATGTCATATGTTCACCAGGAGGATTAGTACTAACTTGCCATGTTGTTTTAACCTCCTTCGGTCCATGCCCACTACTTATGTCCACCTTCCATATTTCTGGGTGACTACTGAGAAAATAATAAAAAAAATGTCAAAATCCCGTCAGGTATTCAGTCACACTTGAATTTTAATGCTGTAAACATTGAAGTTTCTCTTACTTTTGATAGAACTTCTTGATAAGAGCTGGTCTGATTGGCAGTTGGAACACATGCTTCTCGTTCAGAGGGTTTTCCTTATAATACTTCATGCAAACTCTGCAATAGATATCAACTAGTTACTAACTCTCTTTGGAGAAAATCTTGTGCAACACTGCATAAACCTTGTGCAAAATTAACTATACTCTCAGATTTTATGATTTCCTTTGGTTTTCAATTTTAGTCATAAAGCAAAATTTAGCAGGAAGATCCAACTGTTACTTCTGCAGTCTCATTGTCATCAACATTAAGGAAGGATGCTTTTTTTTTTTAAAGAGAGTTTTTTTAAAACTGTCAAAGAGAATCTATTTGTTACTGTCACTTAAAGAGCAAGAAGTAAAAATGAAATAATTACTGCGTCAAAGGGAAGAGGTTCTCATGTTTAAACTGAAGTAAGACTGTACAGCTGACCATTATTTCCAGCATATGGTGAAGCTTTTGAACACGATGAACTTGTTCTTGTAGATCTACAGATGTGGAAATGAAGTAATCCTGGAAGAGCAAACATCTTTTGCTTTTAACTGGACACTCAATTTCTACAAACACACAACACATCCTCAGCATACTAAAATAATTTTCCTGCTTCTTTTGAGAAGCCAAAATTTTAAGCCCAGCAGACTCAAAACAAAGTTCCATGCTATCAAAGTATGAACAAAGGGTTCACTGTCCTGCCTGACAACAACCCATATCAGATACCTGGGAAATAATATATGAATAAGGAAACATCATAATGACATTTCTGCAGTGTGGTGTTCCGTCCTCATGATTTGCAATTCAGTTTCTCAGCTTATAGGAATGATATGACTTGCATCCCACCATCAGCTAAGTGTGTTCTATTTTATACTGTTTTCAGAGTTTAAAAAAAAAAAAAAGAAAAAAGAAAAAATATCTCACCAAGTAGGTTAATGTTGCAAGTTCCTGGCCTGTAAAATGAACGGGGAGGGGGGGGAATAAAATTGAAATTTACTACATAGCGTCAGATGAAATATAAGCAACATTCAGGTAATCAAACAGGGAATTCTACCAAAGAAAAGCACCAAGTCACTAGGACTGCAATGTTATTTATTGACATGATTACTCATTCATTCAAAACAAGAAAAAGCCTGTAAGTTGGCATGGTAGAGGCATCATTTTATTTACCACCAAGGCTGCACAATGAGGAAACCTACCACATACTTCCAGACAACCACCTTCCTTGGGACATATATTTACAAATAGTGAAAATAAAAAAAGCAAATGAAACAAAGAATGTAAACAGGATGACAAAGCAAAAAAGAAATGAAGAAATGAAAAGATGAAGGAAAAGGAAGCAGGTACGAACAATGGTAAAACACAAATCCCTCCTACAGATTCAGGGGAGAAAAAAAAAAAAAGTGCTATAATACCACAGACAAAACCACAACATTTTCAAGAAAAAATGTACTTTACAAAAATCGTTCCACCCTAGCTTTTTTTTCAAGTATAGTATATATAAAAGAATAATCAAAAATATCTTTCTAAATATTATAGACTGTACAAACACAGCTATTACATATAAGTGTCCTTGCCTGACTTTCTTTTAACCCATGTAGACCATTAAAGGAAAAGACAGAAAGAGCATGAGGGTCTTATTTTTTCACCCACAGCAAACAGATAAGAAAACAAAACAGTCCACAGTTATATAAGCCTGGTATTTATTTTACTTGAAGGTTTTTTTGAATTGAAAAAGAAGCAGATGGTTACGCAAGCTATAGTTGCTTTGAAACACATTTATTTTTTTAAATTTTAAAACCATATACAACTGAAAAGTACAGTTACTGAGGAGGCTGGAAACAGCACTTCAGCAGATGGGAGCAGAAGTGAGATCAAGGTTACCAAAAACTTCATTATTTCCTGCATAGAATATCTTTTCTCTGGAATTTCTAATCTTGTTAACAGATATTAGGCTTACCTATGAAAAAACTGACATAATCCTTCTTCATCTTATCCAAACCAATCTCCAAGAGCATTTGAATTGGAGTGATGCCACTGAGGGAAACGACCTCTATCTTTCCATGATAAGACTGCTGAATCAATTTACTTAACAAACTGCTACTCCCTTGATGAATCTAAAAATTAGAAAAGTTTTCTTGTGATGCAACTGTATGAAGTGTCAAAACGTTGTTTAGAAGTGCAACACCATGGAAGCAGAGGCAAACTGTGACACGTGAAAGTAATTTAAAAACAATACAACACAGAAACGAGGGGCAGTTAAAAGTGACAAGAACTATATTCTACTTCAAACGACTCAAAATTTGAACACACAAATACATACCCAGGGCTGTATCTCACCACGTTCCAGGGATTTTATGATCAATGTGAAACACTTTATCAACTCCTCATAGGAACTGACACCTTAAGAAAAAAAGATGCAATATTTTATTTATCAACCCAGGCTCGCTCTCATGCTGTTAAGTCAATAATGATAGGCCAACACATACTTGCAAGAATGAAACCCCTCATTTAAAGAATGATAGCTAAAATGACAGATTGCACTGCTTTTTGTGAAGTTTGTCATATTGTGACTTTAAAAAGGGTTACTCTAATGAAACGATGATCAAAAGAGACCACCGGGCTGCATATGACTGTTAGAGAACAGGACATGGCAGATGCAGGTTGTCATATAACACATTGTGGCTACATTCTCTCTATATACATTGAGGCTCAACACATTTTATAAATTTAACTGAACAGCATCTATCTAGAATATGAACTATTAGTATCCTTTTATCCAACTAACTGCTTCCTAAGCAAGAAAGAAGCCTCCATACATTTTGCAGCTGACACTGCCCTTAAGCAGGGCACATTGCAGTCAGAGTACATTTTGGCTATCTAGCTTCGATTCAAACACAGCAGCGGTTGTGCTAACAGGAATGAAAAGGATTTAAAAGTTGCATAACTCCATCCCTCAAACAGAAAGGAGCTGTTAAAATCTCGGGAACAGCTTAACAAAAGTTAATTAGTAATCTGAAAAAATAGTAATAAATAAATAAAAATGTATTTTACTGGAGGACTGCGAGTGGTATTACAACAATGATAAAGTTTGTGCGCAGCTTTATCAAGTCAAACATTGTCCTTCAGATCTAGAAAGACAAAAATTGTATAAAGTTTCCAGTTTTAGAGCAGATGAGTACTACCAATTGTTTAGTACCTTTTACAATCAAATAAAAATAAATATAGTATCTCCTGGTAGATGTTGATCTACCTGTATATGTAGTAAGAAAGTATATCATCTTACATACCTAAAATTAACTCCTGTAGAAAAAGCCTGTTGATAACAAGGTGATCAGTCCTTAAAACTCAGAGAAATTTATATTCATTTCACTGAGAAAGCAATACAGTATAGTAGATACAGAGAACAGAAGAATTAAAGGAAAACAGATGGGGCAAAAACCCACAATACACTTACTTCTCATTTTGCACCATAATTGTTCAGCAAAATCGAGGTCTCCTCGCTCACTGTAGATTGATTTTATTGAACTGTCCACTGCAGCCGTGTCACATTTGATTTTCTGAAAGAGTTTGTCTTAAGTAAAAAAGGATGCCTAAGATTCAAAGACCTTCTGAATTGAAATGTTCTCCAGAGATCAAAATTGGGTGCATCATTAATTTTTCCCCTTTTCCAGGGAAACTACTGCATAGAAATTACCAGTGCATAGTAATTCAGAAGCATATTTTTATTTAAAAGTGAGACTAATTCTTTTCAGAATTATCACACTGGATAATTGCTAGCTTTGGATGAGGAAGCAAAGCCCACTATCAGAAAGACTTTTGATCACAGCCAAGTAAAGCTCGACCAGATTGCCTAGTAAAAACCAACTGCTGAGCTCAAGATGGTCCCTTTTTGCCTTACAATGGCACAATGCACGGGTCATGGGTAAATAGCAAGAATACAGTCCAGCAAGCACTAACTCAGAACATGACCTACACTACACTGAACTCACAGATTATTAAATAACTGCATGTATACCTAGCAGTGCCCTGGGAGACCAAAATTAATACATACATAGATTCTCAGAACAGAGAACTATTTTCCTGTTATCTTGATCCTGAATATTTCTGGTTTAGCTGATACAGAAATCATTATATTTTTAGCTAATCAACAAAATGCAACTTCCCTCTCAATAGGAAAAAGACCCAAACCTGTCCTTGTAGGCTGAAAGGGGAAAACCAAAAAATAATCTTAGTATAACTGAAGACATTTTTAAAATTTGAATTTGTCCATTGCTTTAGGATATCATAAACCTCTAGATAAATAGGACAGATATCCAATTGATACCATTAAATTGGCCCAAAATCATTGCTTTTCTTGCCTAATTTAAATTCATGATAGAATGCAATGGCACAAAAGTCAGAGTTCCTGGAAGAAACTAGGACATCATGAGATTGATAGCTTTAGGAGACAACAGACAATGGTTAAGAAAAGGGAGTGAGATTGCAGTTGATATAATACAGTTCAATTTGCAAGCTTTTGGCAGTGAAAAAGGAAGGGAAAGGAGCAAATCAAAATGGCTCCACACCACTAAGTTGTATAAAAAAATACGCATAATGGACACTGGCAGACCATTTAGAATAAAAACAACAGGTAGGTTTTCTGAAGGTAAAAATTACAGTGGACTTTCTATTAGAGGATAGCTATGGAATTCCCAATTTTGCCTGTAAGGCCTTCTTCCATTATTTTTACATGGCAGAAACAGAAAGCAAGAGATCTCTCTTGCTTTACATCTTTATGTCTATGTATTCACATACTTACATAAATAATATACAAGACATGGTCAAAATCTGAAGTAACTACAGTTATCAGGGAAACAAGACGACAAGGCAATTGGTAGGAAATTGCATATACCTCCAGTTCATTCTTGTTTCCAGATATACAATATCCATCCAGCTCCTTCTTTAAATCTAGCAGAAGAGAAAAATAAATTTCATCACTATGAAAAAACATATCAAACCAATTGTATAAATCCCCAGGCACATTATAATTAACAAATACACTGACTGGATGGCTAATAGACAAAATTTATCCATTTTTAATTGGTTTTTACTGAGTAAGGATATAGTCTGAAAGATAACTCCTTAATATTTTTTATTATAAGGTATACATTTTCCCCATATACCTTTACAACATTCTGTTATCTAACTATTAACTTGTTAAGTTCCAGCGTGGAAGCAGTAAGGGGTAGCAGGTGGTCTAAGTAGTGTCTCTTGTTTCCTTTCACATGTATTTGTCAGAGAGTTTTAGTCTGGCTTATCTTTTGTTCAAGTTTTATCTACATACTAAAAAAATTTACAGTTGCATTTGAAAATCTCTTGGTGCATTCCTACATCTGATTCTCTTTTTAGGTTTGTTTTCTAATATCTTAAACTTCTGACAAGACACATACTGCTGACAATGGTTTTCAGAAGGAACCAGTAATTATGGATGTTTCATTTTAAGGTGTTATCAAAGTATTGTTTTCCACCACCAAAGGGACACTGAGCACATTTAGAAGTTCATGTGCATGTCAGACAAATTGAAAGATGTATCTAGAACTCCCTCACTTGCTTTTTAAACACAATTGTGTCCTTTCTATAAAGAAACAAGTATTACTTTTATACAAGATATTAGGAGAAAGAAAAATGACAGAGATGTACTGACTAACCTATTGAACTACTTTATGCAGGTGGTTAGGGCATCGAAATTAACATCTCTAATTCTAATACTTTAAAAATTGTATGTGGAATTTCCTTTTATTTCTGTGAAATGTGACATCCCTCTCTCCCCATGTAACAAGCAGCAATTACCAGTCAGAAATTCCTGGACCAGTTCAACAGCTGATTCAGATTCTGATGGCTCAGGCCACTCAGTCACACCTGTCTTCAAACCTTCGGCCAAAGCCTAAAGGCAGCATGAAAATCAAAACACCACAAATCAGTTCTTGTTTGAGGTTCTGCACATGTCATACTTCAAAATGTAGTTAACTTCTCCAAGACTCGTATGTCTCTCGCTGTACAGCTAACCATGAACTTAGAAACTTCTTGAATCTCCTGGCTTTGGTGTTCATGAGTTGTCCTCTTTGTATTCAAGATTCCTAAAACTGAACTCAAAGTTTATTGTAAAATAAAAGCTTAAAGTTATCTTTGTAACATCTGCTGAAGTTTTATTTGAAGTAAATTATTAACATATAAAATCACCATTCCATGTAAATCTGAAATTGGAATTTCTCACTTATACTTACAAGGAGAAACTGCAGTTCTCTATATAGCTGATGTACAGGACTTCTGGGGTTCCCAGACTCCAGCGTAATATTCTGAAAGTTCCAGAAGTTCATGTCAAACTTTAGAAATCAAGCATCCTAAAATTTTCATTAGTGAAATGCATATTACCATAATTTATAATTTAGATTATGAACACATTGTGTTGCTTATATAAAGAATAATAAACATAAATGTCAAGAGGCAAACTTATTTTCTATCCTTTACACTACTCATGATATAAGCCATGGAAAGAGTTTGGGTTGGTTTGCTTTTCCTTCTTGACTTACCAATGTGGCAGCTGATATTAGTGGAGGCGTCTCCAGAATCTTATCTACAGCATTCCATGTAATATCGACATATATATTGCTTTCAGATTCTACAATTGTGTCCTCTATTGCAGCATCTCTAATAAGTTCATACTGAGCAAATCCTTTTGTCATCACCTAGAATGAACAGATTTAAAAAAACCCAAAACATCAAAACCACCACAAGATTGTTTTGTTCGCATGCAAAATAATTTTAAAATAATTTCACACACACACAAAAAAGGGCTAATATCGGACAAATGCATAGCAACATAGGAAGCTTAAATGTTACTTCAAAAGAGACTCTTATACTATAGAATCATACTAAGGTGAGTTTCTAAATAGAACCTATAAAGCTTCCCAAAACCAGAGTTTTTAAACTTTCATTGGAAATGTGACAGACCATAAAAACCTACAATAGATGAATGATGTTTCATTTTATGTGCCATTTTGAGCTTGTCCAGGTTTGCAAAATAGGTTTCAACAGCTGTAGGACCTAGGAAAGGAAAAAAAAATAAAAAAAAAAAAATTTGATACAATTCCAATTTGGCATTTAAAATTAATTCTCAATTACTCCATTTGGTCAAGTACAACTCCTGTCATCCTTTAGAAAGCAGGCATTCTTCTTGCATTTGTCCTACTGATAACAAGAGCTGAAGATAATGCGTAAATGTTTAGTAAGTCAGTGCTTGTATAAGAAGTCGAGCAGTTGCAATTTAAATTTGCTAAGTTATTGCAGCTGAGTGAAGGTAGGCCTGCACAGATACCTGTGCATTAAGTATATTAAAAAGTTATTTCCCCCCCCACAGGATGGGTTAAAAACATCTTTTCTTTTCTATCTTTTTTTTTTTTCTCCCTTTTGTTTTTTAAAAGGAGGAATATAGAGCAGTACCAACCAGCATCACACAAAGGGCAAAGATCAATATTCCCAATTTTTAAGCCTTCCTCATTTAATTTTATGTGTCACATTATTACCTTACCATCACATGTCACCATATAAAAACTGATCCCTGTGATTTTGTTTCCAGCTTTGAGAGGCTCAGCTCCAAGCCAACAAGTATGTTCAGGATCAGAACCGTCACACCTTATCCAGAGGGGAGGAAGTACAACCAGTTCACTTATCTTCAAGTGGGTCATGTTTGGGTTTTGTACCATTGTATATAAGGAAATCAACTGCCTGCGAATATGAACAGGAAAAAAAAAAAATAAGATGCCAGCAAATATAGCTAAACCTTATCCCTTACATAAAACTTAACTCCTATCTACCATGCTTCGTTAGCAGATGTCAAATCATCTTACATAAAGAATACAATATTATAATCCTCTTCTTGCAGCTAGAACAATAGTCACAAAGGAGGCTGTTAGAGACTATAACTGAGAATATATTTAATATAATAGTTTAATTTAGACTACAGATTCCAAAATCATGATTGAATTCTACATTTTAAGCATGTTAAAAGGACAAGTTAGTTAAGCAAACCAGTCACCATGTTTTGGTATCATGCCTTGGTATTTTAATAACAGCCAACGACCCTCATCAGATTGTTTTTTTGGGGGTTTTGTTTGGTTGGTTGGTTGGTTTTGGTTTGGTGGTTTTTTTTTTGGTTTTTTTTTTTAACAGAAGCCTTACGAAAACAAGCATTGAAGTCTTAGTAAGCTTGCTTTGCTCACCTACACCCAGACAGCCCCATTAACCTAACGGGACAGCTCACAAGTGTTTTTCCAGTACCTTGACTTTAACTACTTTGTTAGGAATACTTTTAGCCAGGGAGGCCATTTTCTAGGATGAAAAATGGTCACATCTCCTCACTAAACTAATGTGTAATTTAATTTGGGGGGACTGAAAATAATACAGGTGCTGAATATTAGGAAGAGAGACAAAAGTTGCAAAAGAAAATTACATCAAAATGGAAGGTGGGCCCCTGACACTTACTTTGCCCTTCTGACAGGAAGAGCCACTGGTCCAGAACTCTCCTTTAGCAAAAGCTCAGCGGCGTAAGTAGCACCATCTGCATTTGATTCTTCCAAGGGGTCACTTTCTTCATTGTGTCTCTTTTAAGAGAAACGCATAGGTAAGTCAAAGAATGAAAAGTACGTGAAAACGGGAATTCAAAAGTCTATTACATTTAAAAAATTAACAACTAACATACACACTTACTGCTTTCTGCAAAATATATATCTTATTGTTTCCATTCCAGAATCTTTCAACAGGACTTTTGCAACTACTACCAATCAACCAGATCTCTACATCAGTCTGAAAAAAGAAATAAAATTAAAACTTTTTAATACACCACATATAAATGCTGCATTTCAGTAATTTTTTATAGCAGAAATTGCAAAATTAACTAATTCCACAAACTGTTTTCCAACTCTATTGCAACCATTATGACTCTAACTAAGGCTTTCTTACTTCAGGAGAACACAGTTACTGTATGCCATAGGTGGAATCAAATAAACTGTGAAAAATACAGCAACTTTCAACTAACCGACATAGAAATTTTATTCTCTTATGGGCTAATTCTATGAGAAACTTAAGTACGGTTCGACGAATGAAACTTCCGATAATCCAAAATACGAGGGATCATTGTTATCAAGTAGCAGCTGCCGTCACCAGAGATCCTTGAGACGGAGAATACTCATTTAAAGTAACTTTAAATATCAATTGATCACTCCTCTGAATGTCTCATGAGAGCTCTAAACACTGTTTGGAGGCATTAAATAACTCAAGCCTGTTCTCGAGAATGAAGGAATATGAATCTTTACTTAGGCTTTTCCATACACACAGAGAATTATTGCTTGATTCTTCACATCTAGTCTGGTTTTCACATTATAGTATATTTAAATAATCACCTGATTTCATTTTCAAACTATTATCAAACTTATATAAATCCCAAGATTAATACAACTGAGTAGCGTTAGAAATTTGCCAGCCATTCCTACGTTCCAAAAGCTGTTAGAAGCAACAGCTATTTTCATACAGATAGCCCATTCCCCATAAAAGTCCTTGGGTAAAAAGCGTGCCATCAGAAATATGAAAATACCGAGTGCAGCTGCTGTAGCACCTCTTTCCTGGCCACAGCAGACCACCCACCATCTGCACTTCACACGACCTCCACCCCATAACACTCCCACACTCACCTATACTTGATGCTGACAACCATTTTAAACAACCTAACCGTTAACAAGTGCAAAAAAAATGAGGTGGAACGCAGGAGTGAGCGGGGAGGTGAAGGCTGGTGCTGGCCCCGGGAGGGCGGCACTCGGGTACCCGGGTCTCCTTCTCCGTCCTGAGGTAGAGGCAGATCCGAAGAGGTATTGCTGAGGTAAACTTGCTGAGGTAAACTTTCCTTTTTACGTGGTATCCTCGCACATAGCTCAGCTGTTGATCAACAGCTGCGCGTTTTAAACATATACACTCAGGTTACATGACTGTATTTTCACATACATATTTACCTCAAAGAGATACGGGTGTTCAGGGATACTCTCTCTTCCTTCTTCATATATTCTGAAAGAAAAGAAAATGTTATGGCACGTCAAGTTTTTTCCTCTGTATTTCTCATTAAACGGCGTAAACTAAAACAACACAGGTCAACAACACAGGTCTACACCCAGAGCCTCAGCAGCCTCCTCACAAG